AATAGCTCCAATCCAAGTCCGTCTTTAATCATATTGCTTTTGCTTTCATTACAGTTTCATTAAAAAGTCGTTAGCAGCCAGTTTTTAGCATAGCAGAGGGGTGTGTTCAGAGGCAGGGCACGTTGAAGAGGAGGTAATTAGAGTTCACATTAGTTTCAGCTTAAATTTCATGAATGTTTGCATCTGAAAAGGTGAACAAATACTTAACTGTTTTGAAACCATCTAAATATTTTAATTATTTTGCCTTTTATAAACTATCAGACTTTTTCTGATTATTGTTGTAATTAGAAGCTCTAAGGAGAGATGAAATCCCAGCCAAACATTGGACATATTAAGCCTTAGACAGCACATGTACCTGTGTGTGTCTCTGTTTACATAAGAGTGACTTGAAGAGGGCGGGGCCCTGTCGGCGATAAGGAGCTATTTGGTTTCTATATTTATTTTCTCACTGGGGAGGTGTTTGCCTTTCCCTGCTTGGCCTCCAAGTCTGCAGACCTGCTGCTTTGATGTTTTCTAGCAAACTGCAGAGGAAAAGCAACATTAACGCTGCATTTATCCACATATAGCCTGCATGCTCATTGATCTGGGGGTGGGGCTTTATGAAATTGATCTTTTTTTAAAACAATTTGTCATTAAAGATCAGGCAGTTGCGACAAAAAGAAAATTCTGTTAATTCCTTTCAATTTTTAACTACCCAATAAAATACATTTTCTTCTGTAGCTTTAAATATATATATATTTTTTTCCAAGGTGTCGGTTATGGTATTCGCTTATTTAAATAGAATAAAATGAAAAATCCCTAAATTGTCCCACAATTGATAATTCTGGTGTTTACAGCAGCAAAATGGTAATAGAAAAATGTATAAGAATCACATACTAGTGAAGAGTTAAAAGATAAACAATAGAATACTGTACTGTAACGTGTTTTATCGATATGAAACTGCAGATGTCAAGAAATAAGAGTAGGACTAATTTTATGCAAATGTAAATGTAAACTGGAAATATGGCTTTATCTTTCAAGGACTGTCCATGATGCAGAAATATTTGGTCTATACAAGGAGAGATGAAGCAATCCGGTGTTAGTCTGTGCCAGATGTGAGCTGTGAAAACTCAGGAATTGTTTGAGTCGTCTCCATGTACCTGAGTGTTGGTGAAGAAACATTGGACACTCTGCAAATCTGATTTTAGTAACATAAGAATACAGAAAAGAAAAATCTATTAAATGTTATTTAATAGGAGTATTTCTGAATGAATGGACATAATACATACAGGTTATCCTGGTTTATGAATCAGTGCATGCATCCCAACCCTTTATGTCATTTATTATTGATCTATTAAAGTTTTGAGTTTGATAAAAGCTTATGTACTCAGCTTCTACTAGTCTGTTTATTTGGATCCAGCTTCCCTGCAGCAGAAGGTGGTTCAGCTCAGGGATTAACACCTTAGGTTGTCTCCTTAAGACAACGCTGAATATGAAGTTAGAGCACTACTGGTCCCTGCTGGTCCATGATTGAGTGAACTGTCTGTTTGTAGACACAGCTCACAAGTGACCTTCTTGTGTGAGACATGCCTCCACTAGTGCCCACTTACCCTCTGAGTAGGGGGTCCCTCTCCCCTGTCACTCACTCTTGTATGCCTTTTTCATTTTTTTCCTTTTGGCCTGCCCTTATGATCTCTAAGGCTCTCCCAGTGATAGCCGGCTCACTCTCTCTCCCCTTATTATTTTTCCACTTATCCCATTGTTCCTTGTTGCTCCTTTCCTTTTTATCTGCTGTCATCTTAGCTCAACAGCTAAGGTGACATGCCTGTAGGATAGTAACCCCTTTTCCTTGTTTTCGTGTCTGTCTGTCTCCCTTTCGCTATCTTTCCATGCCGTATTCCCTGTCCTGTGCACGGCTTTGGCATTGCAGGGATCAGTTTACATGGCAGCAGCTGAGGCAGGCTTCATTTGTCCCAGGGCTTCCCTCTGAAAAGGCATTTTTCACCTCTGGAGAATTGCTCACTGCCCACAGTGACATTGAGTGCTTAATTGCACTACCTCCAAATTTGGAAGTCTTGATCTTTAGTGGCAGTCCAAGCTCTTGAACTCGATGTACTGTGTTAGCTGGGAGGGTTGTACATTCCTTTAGGTATAGATATGTGTCTCAGAGAGAAGCAGACTGTTTCTAATTCTAATCTAGTCTATATTCTGAACCAAACACTGCAAAATCAGAGGACTTTCATTGATGTTTTAAACAGCCACACCTTTAATAAGGATTAACATGTTTGCAAACAATGTCTGATTTGAGCAGTGATCTCCTGACATCCTATTTACCAATTTTGATTCCTAGTTTTAAAAGGCCTTTAAAACCTCCCCTTTGCTTTTTTTGATGCATTGAGGAGAAAAATTAACATGGACAAATGTAAAGATGACTGTAAATAAATAGCTTTATTATGATTATGCAGGGAGTATTACAGATTATATGGACACTGCAATGTAAATAGGACAGGTAAGGAAAAACAGGAAAAAGGGGAAAAGATGAAAGAAAAAGGAAGTAAAAGGGAGACAACAATAAAACATCTTCTGTCTGCATCATCACCTGCAAAGTGACGTAAAAAGAACAGCACAACCAACGGATATAGTATAAAATAAAGTGGCACTTTGATACTATCGCTGAAGTATAAGTAGTATTATTTAATCTGACATGTATACTGTGGTAGCTGAAGATAAGAATATGGGCTTTCTGTATAGAAATGAATCTCTAAGTATCTGGAACCAAGCACCTGTAGTTGTTTGTTTGTGTGCACTTGTGCATGTAAAGTTTATCCAAAGGAAAAATGCTCAATAGTGGTTGTGAAGAGCAAAAGACCCGCCCCCACCCCAGAGCTATTTATATGCGTATCAAGCTGAACACTATGGCGTTAGCCGTACTGCTCCACTCGTCAAACCAAAATCTGTTGGGCTCTTTTTGGCATCAAGACAATTGTTCTTGTTGCCGCATTGCCAGACAGGACACCTTTAAAAAAAAAAAAAAGAAAAGATGACTGTAAATATTTAATATGTTCATCTCACATTTTTCTTTTTTTGTATACTGTAATTATTATTATTGTTTAAAGTGAAATGTGCTGACTGAGTTTGTGGTTTTGTGTTTTATTTTCTTAAGTATCTTTTAATGAGGTGTAATGTCCTTGAAGTGCCTAAATAGACTTTGTTTTGACTCGTTCAGTGCTATTTAAACGGTAACGACTTAGGCATTTAAATACCAAACACATGTGTTCCTCTCTTTCTCTCCCATTGCCACCCTGGTTAACAGTGAAAGGGTTACAGTGCTACACTAACCTCTAAGTCAACACTATACTGACTTTTTAACCCGTCCTTCTAATCAGCTTCTTCTGATGTCCTGTTTTAAATTGGTTCTGATTTTTCTATTTTATTATAAATTCCTATTCTTGGCTGCCAGTTGTTTAAAAGGCTAGTTAGTTAGTTAGTTAGTTCTGGAACTATGTTGTATTTCTGCTGGATGATGAATTTGACCCGTTCCTGTTATTACTTCTCTGCTCTTCAAACTTTCCTTTAATTAGTCTGACCTTAAATTATCTGATTGTTCTGTAGAAAAAAAAATGAAGATTGAAACCTTTAAAAAAATGGAGTTAGACAATTTCTAAAAAAGTCTGTCATCTATCATCATCTCATAATTAAAAAAAAGGAGGCAAACTGTTGTTGTAGTAATGAAAGGAAATGCAATTGGAAATGTTGCAGATTAGCTGTTTAATCCATATAATCCAAACTAACCAATCCAATTCAACCTTTAATAGGTTGAGTTGGATGTATGTATGTTTTTGATTAAAATGTGAATAGTTGGGATTAATTCATTAGAGCTGCTGTAATGAACTAAATTCATATTTTTAATAATTTTTCACTACTACTTTATTTTTATCAGTTACTCCTTTATTCTAATATTTTGACAACTTTATCCTTGTAATGTTAAGATGTTATTGTAGTAAAATTACAACTTTATTCCAGTAAATTTTTAATGTTACAGCTTTTTTTTCTCCTAGTAATGTTGTGGCTTTATTCCTGGGTTTTTGACTGATTCTAAAAATTATGTGACTTTATTTCCATTATTTGAAACAGTTAATGTTGTATTGTTATGACTTTGTTCTATTAATATTACATTTCTCCATAATATTACAACTTTATTCTATTAATACTGCAACTTTGTTCTAGTAATTTAACAACTTTATTCCTGTAATTCTACAACTTTGGTCTATTAATATTGAGGCTTTTCTTTCTCATAGTATTACAACTTTAATGCAGTAATTAAAATATATATATATAACTAAAATGATCTGAAGTTTCATTTTGGACTCCTTTCTTTTCACACACCCTAAGAGTCTATGATGGCCCATCTTAACAGGCTTTGTTTTGAGGGATATGCAGGCATGTAAAAACAGATTTTCACACATTTCATCAGTAGTTTTTGCAGTGATTTCATAAAGTTTCTTTGTAATGATTTTAGGTGATGTTTACGGTAAGGAAATAAAATAAGCAGTTTATTCTTTCTTAGTGAAAACCTCAGATCAGTAGCTTTTGATCAGTAGTTCATTTGTACCATAATTTTAGTGCATCTACAAATAGGAAAATTAAACATACAATTTATTTTGTTATGATGTCTTTAAGTTGTTGTCTTGTAATTACTTTAACTATGTTTCATTGTTTGATATTAAAGAAATAAACTTCTCTCTTCTGTATTTGATTATGAACTTTAAACAAAAACAAATTAATTTAAGTGATTTCATGAGAGATTTATTAGAAAAAATAAATAATAAATAAATTTTTATTTTAGCATAAATATAATTATTTAAAGAAGAAAGTGCATTTCCTTTTACCTCCAGATCCATGTTTTGTTAGTTTTCTCCCTTTTAGGTAAAAATGTTTAAAGCCGACGGGAAATGGGATGATTTATAATACTTTTTCAAAGTTCTTGATTAAATGGTGTCTTCGTTTTCTCTTTTTGTTAGGATGACCATGACAGCTGCTCCAGCTCTACTAGTCGCAGTGTCTCAGACAGCTCCAAGTCCACCGCCAAACCCCGCCGCCTCCAACAAGCAGCACCCAGTGACCCTGACCTGCCACCAGGTAACCACTTCTTTCCCAGTGCAGACATCAGTTTAAGACAGTCAGGCTACATGCATCTATTTTATTGAGCATTAAAAACATCAAACAGGAAGCATGTTTTAGGGGGAGGAGAAAGCATTTTCTGATTTCGTTTTCATACATACCCTATTCTCTTTTATTTAAACATGTATAAATCAAGCAGTCAGTCACACACCACTGTTACTTGTTTAAGGGGCTGGATAGGGAGCCATAGGAGCCAGATCACTGTACCATCCAAAGGTTAACTCCCAGAGCCCTAGTAGGCCCGGATCTATGAACTCCTACTCCTGACTGGTTTTATCAGGGGAGGATCCATTTCCAGGCCTGATGTTATGAGATAATATCTCTCCCCAGCTGTTAAAGCAGCATGCCCCCACACCCCCAGCATCCCCCTATGGTGCCTGCCTTCAAGTAATCTCTTTGGAGTGTGTGAATGTGTGCCTTTGTTCACCTCTGGGTGTCTAGGATTTTTTTTAGAGTATCAGTGTTCGTTTATGTGCGCATAAAGCACTCTTCCACCAGTGGTCCTCATTTTAACCCATTAGAGGCAATAGAGACAACATGGGGTCAGAGGTTGGAGGAGCTCAATAATAGCAAGGAAGTAGATGAATGCTGTAATCCCAGGATTCCTAATTAAAAGGTAGAGGTTAAAAGGTAGATAGGGTAAAACTAGCCCGCTATGACTCAGACTGGATATTTTGATAAGAATAGGATACAAACCAAATGTGTCTGAAGGCTTGCTTTCTAAAAGCAAAGACAGCACATTAGCTGACTTAATTGTGTTCTGTAAACTTTTTAATCTCCTCGTTGTATGGATAGATTTTGTTATTCTGGTGAGTAAACGTTTTTTGTGTTTATTTTTGAGGATATCTAGTCTGTGTGTACTCAGGGGTCGTAACGGTAGATGTATTGAAACCAAAAATATCCAGTAGAGCTGTTGATGTACCAAGCAAATACAGAGTTGTTTTACTGCTGAACAAACGCAGGTTGTTTATGTGTGAGATTAAGAGCTTAATTCAATGTTCTGGAGCTTAAGTGGAGAAAGAGACGCAAAAACAAAGCCGAGACACTGAACTTTGCTGTTTGGTAACTTGAAGCTTTCTTTTGCAGCTAAAGAGAATAAAAGATTGCAGGAACTTAATTCTCTTAGAAAGTTTTGATAAAGATTAGATTGAAAACATTGCGCAGCTCAGTTTGCAGCAAACTGAATGACTCACCTGAAACTACATCAGGCTGAATGTCTCTGAAAAAGAATCAGCTAATGTTCAAACGCCCACCTGGAGCATCCAACAGTCCAAACCAGAAATATCTTATGAGGTGCAGTTTGAAGAATAGCTGCTAATGCTGCATTCAGGTACAGCTGGGAAAGACTGAAACATATAAAGTGATTCAAAGGGAGCCTCGATTAGGCACGGCTATACCTGCTTCTACTGTTTTCATCAATATAATCAAATCCAACCAATCAACTCAGTGATTTCTACTCTTTGTATTTCTAAGAACACAATAAATTCGAGTTTGATTTTAGATAAAAAAAATTATCCTCAATTAAAATCAGAAAAATATTTTCTCTTTAATTGTACTCAAACATTGAGACAAGTTACTTTTAAGCCCAATTTACCATTATTATGCATCATTACACCGAATTAAACAGATTTTATACATAACTAAATATTGATGCAAAGGTTGGTTTTTTTTAATCTGGAGCAAAGAATTAATCTTTACCTCATAATAATTTTAATTTGGCTATATGTGCTCTGTTCATGCTCTGTCATGGGAGCTGGTTGACAGTTGCATTTTTATCTCTGCTTCTTTTTCTATGTTTGCTTCTGTCTCCTTGAACACCAGTCTGCCTCTGCAGATGGCCGCTTACGTTCATTCTGATTCTGCTGGAGGTTTCTTCCTGTTAAAAGGGAGTTTTTCCTCTCCACTGTCGCTACAAGCATGCTTAGTGTGAGAGATTGCCTTAGAGTCAATGAGTCGATGCAATCAACTGTTTTTCCTTAGATTGAAAACTTTGAATCATTTTGACCGTATGATCTGGTTGAATTGTAAAGCGCTATATTGGCACTATATAAATTAACTTAATTGAGTTTAGATTCAATCAATTTAAGATGACGCCCACTCTGCTTTAATTCCCCCAGTTTGAAGAGTAAAAATATCAAATGTTACTCTGCCAATTTCAGTACTCGGAGAACAATTTAATGTGATTTATTGATTTCTTATATTATATATTCCTTTTTTAATATAAGGTTGATAGACTGGCGTAGAAATATTTATTTCTAGAAAACACCTAGGATTGCTTTGCAGAAATTAGAAATCTAAAAGTAATCTTAAATGAAATGCAAAATAAACATTGCATCATCAGCTTGGATAAATGTTCTCACATCGAATTAATGGTTCTGCTTCAATTATGAACTGTGTGGATTAGAAAGTTTATAATTCATATATCATGTAAAAAGCTGAATCTGAAGGGAGAGTATTGCATTACACCGGAGCTCTTGCTAATTATCTGTGATTATTTGATTTGAGAAATTTAAAATTATCTTAATTAACATACCTATTTTTGTTAATAAAGATAATTTTTCACTGACCATAAAGTAAACACATTCAAATGTCCAATTAAGTGGAGTTTGTTGGATAGCAGCCTTTGTTTATAGGCCTACCTGTGCTGGTGTTTCTGTTTCCATGGCGATGATGCACGGGACCACCAAAATGGTGACATTCTGCTGCTATCATCATTTATGCTACGCTCACACCTCAAGCAGCAGAAGCAGCAAGTTTACATGCAAAGTCAAGGGTTGCGCAAAAGGTTCAGCAGCGCATTTAGAGCAGTTGAAGCGGCGCATCGGGAACTTCTCAGCTCGCTTCAAAAGCAGCAGCAGCTAAAGTTGGAAAAATTGAACTTTAGCTGCTCAACTGGCAGTGAGACGAACACAGCTCTGCTGATGCAGATCACTATGATCACTCCTCTGAAACTGTTAATTAATGCCTAAATTAACTTAAAATGCTGAAACTTACCAGTAAAATATGTTTGATTTTATTATTCTGGTGCCTGCAGTTTGTTTTACGTAGTTGAAAAACGCCTTCCAGCCAGTAGCGGAAAAACGCCAAGAGGCGACCTGGCCAGAGGCTGCTGTTGAACATGGTTCCTGGAACTAAACTTGTACAAACATCAAAAAGGAAGCAGCATGCATGCTTTTGCTGCTCCTGCTGCTTGCGGTCTGAACGTACCATTACAGTTCAGGGCCTGAATCTTGTACCTATTTGTAAATCCATAATAATCACATTACAGGAAGATATTTTTTCTGTTGTACTGTAATCAGGAGGAGACATTCGGCTTGTTCTGATGTTGCCGTGTTTTCCACTCATTTTGTGTGTGTAGTTTAGAGCTGCAGGATAGCTTGCAAACCAAACCTGTTCAGGGCTTAACTGCTCCTAAGCAAGACCAGGCACAATTGTAAAGAGTGCAAAAAAGAAAAGGGGACACCCTGTAATGGCTAAATTGGATCCAGAGAGTAAACTAGCAGGGGGTAAAGTGGTAGTTTTACTACCAAGGCTGCAGGTGCAACAGCAGCTTTCTTACTGACCCCGGAATCACAGCCGCACATGCTGGCATTCCCACAGATCTCTCACTCCCCCCCAGATGCCTTAAAGACCTCTCTCAAGCGGGAGGAACATAATCTCCCTTTATGAGTGAAGTTTATACTCCTTCATCCTCTCTTCCTTCCACTCTGCCTGGTCAGACACTGGAGAATTTGGATGATTGGATTATGCCAATCTGCAGACCCGCTCTACACGTTTTCTGTCAACAGCACTATTTAGTTCTGCCTAATTATTGATTCTCCTCTCCCCTAAGCCAAGTGTTCAGATACAGGAAATTAAACATTGGGTTTGGAAAGGAAACAAAATCAGCAAAGGTTTATGTTTGAATTTGTCGTACGCAAGTTAAACATTGTACAGTAGGGATGAGAAGTGGTTTTGTCGCTGTGGTTGGAAGGGTTTGTTGTTGTATATTTTCATATTCGGCAGTTAAATCCCACAAACCTGTGTCATTTCAAGTTCGCTCCTAATTTTCTAACTCCCTGCAAAGTTGTTGTGTTTTTTTTCCCCTGTGAAATTGTTGTTTTAAAGTGTAGCTGCCTGTGAAAGGTCACCGTTCCATATAGCCTGGTCCCTGGTTCTTTAGGGGACGACCCTTTGGATGAGAAACACTTTCAGGTTGTAAAAGTGGGGTTTTAATCCAAGAATGATTCATTTCCCTTATCGTGTGGCTTTATTGCCATTATCATGGCTTTATTCATCCTTCGTTGACTGTTTTTCCTGCTTTTGTAAACAATGATATAATAACACCAACATGTGACTCAGTATTTCATTATGTGTTTTATGTTTCTCTGTCGGCTGACAGGTTTTTTTTAGATGGAAAATTATTACTAGCATTGTACAACCAAAAAAAAAAAAATCAATATATGAAACTTTAAAAAACATTTAAATAAAAAAAGAAAGGTTTTGAAAGTACAGCTGTGTGTGAAATTGTATTTTTTTTTATTACTCATCCATTGTTTTTCAACTGTCCTTTCTTTCATATTTTTCAACAATATTATTCTTATTTATAAAAAAAAAAAAAAGAAAAGTAGAAAACTGCGAAACATGCAGGCATCGGTAAACTTTTGCAACTTATGGTAGAATAAAAACATCTTCACATTTGCATACATGCAACTTCAGCAAAACCTGTGGGATATCAACAGGTTTCTACATTTTATTAATTATTTCGATGTAGCAACAGCAAAGGCTAAAATATGTAATTCATCTTTAACATCCAATAGATTTATGTCTTAAGTTTATTTGTTAAAAGGCAGGTTGATATTTTCTAATGCCTGCTGCTTCAGTATATAAGTTATTCTGGAGTTAACAGCATTTGTACAACAGTTGGAGCCGTAAATTTCCTCCACTGGAATGCAAGGCATTTTTTAGTGTTCTGCAAGCTTAAGTCTGTTAGTTTTATATTGCTAGAAACAGTGGGAAAGTCCACCTCTGCTGTCTGTATATTTTCTACATACATCCAGGATAATTGTGTTATATCTCTTAATTCCACCGGAGTTACGTATAATCTCCTCAATCGTTTGTACTGTATTAATTTTAATCTAGCCTTTATGGTTTTAGAGTAAGCTTCAGCATTAGCTTTTTTCTCCAATGATAATCAATTCTCTTTTATTATCATATCTGACAGGATAGACTTCAGTGGTTTTGTTGTTATGTTATTTGGTTTCTTTAAAATAAAGCTTCTCAATTGGAGAAACTTAACAAAAGTTTTTTTTCTGTAAATTAAATCTGGATTGTAGTTTTGGATTGGAGTCTTTTAGGTATAAATCTTAGATCTTTTTTTAATCCATTTTAATGCCATGGTATAAATGGGGATCTGCTCTATGTTACTCTATGCTGATCTTTATTAAGAAACTCAATCGTTTCCTTTGAATAGTTTTGTGTTTTTGAGCTAAATCTTTAACAACTGTTTCACTTTGGCATTGTTTGTTTTGTTTTTTTGTGAGTTTAATTTTTCTTTATCGAATACAAGAATAGAGGAAAATGTCATCTTGGCTCAGGCAATTCCATCTCGGTCCGGTGAGGTAGATTAGAAAAGTAGAGCATGATACTCCTCAGTTGAGCAACCCAGGAGTACAACTTGAAATCAACCTGAATTCTGAAAAATCTGTTCAGAAGTTTTATGATTTTAATTTAATATAATTTTATATTTAGCTATTTAAATGAATAATTCATTAAAAGCTCTACATATCTGAAAACCTTGAATACTGATTTGCACCATGTTGTTTTTTTTATTTTTATTTTTGCAAGTTGATGGCATCAAACTTGCTTATGATCCGTATGAAGCTGAGAAATAATGCTGTTCAAGCCATTTAAGAAAATTTGAATATACTTTGCAATAGAATTAAACAGGCATTACAATAGTCCAGAAAATAAATCACTATTTCTGTGTAAACAAAAATGTTGAACCATGCAAGTAAAAATAGTATAACGGTGAAGAACACGTGTTGATTAAGGCAGCAGCAGGCAATCAGTGTTCAGATGATGTGAGGAGCTTCTTCAGATTAGAGCTGCTTCTAACCGACATTTATAAAGTTTTTGTTTCTGCATCTAGTCAATCACAGGGACAACCAACCTTTGACTTTAAAAGCAATTTTCCATAGAAATGCTGCCATTGAATAATACCCTGCTCCATCCTCTAAGTCCGCGTTCAATGCTGCTGAAAACCTGCCACATTATGGCTCCTCAGCCAATCAGTGTCACTTACATTTACTGTTGCACCAATACTGATACCAGTATCGGACGGGGCCCCGATCCTGCACTAAAATGGTGGTATTGGTATCGGCGAATACCAACAAATAGAGCACCGATACCATTTTGAGATTTATTCAACTATTGTCACCCATTCCATGTAGGCAATAAAATATCTACTGGATTCACTTTGTTTTAGTCTTTTTCCTGATTCACAAAGGTAGGCAGCAGCTTGACAAAGCCATGGTGGTGATTATTTTACATCCAAGTAGTATGCAGTTCTTAAAAAATACACACACACATCAATTTCAAATAGATGGTATCTATATTGGCGGATATTGCACAGCCAGGTATCGGGGGCCAAAAAATGGCATCAGCGCAACACTACTGACGCCTCTATCTCAGCTTTGTTTGCTGATTTCACCAAGTCTTTCGCAATAAGATCTCCCTTACTACCTGTTCACAATCGGTGATTGATATTGATGCGATGTCATCTGACCATCTGAGACACTTGTTTACATTGATATCAACTCACAAGGCAATAAGGATAACAGATCACCTGTACCTTAGTCTCATGTGAGGTATTATTCTTTTTTTTTTAACATTGTCCTGTCTGGCGAAGTGGCAATAACAATAATTGTCTTGATGCCAAAAAGAGCCCAACAGATTATACTTTTACAGGTGGGGCAGTACGGCTATCGCCATAGTGTTCCGTTTGATTTATACATATAAATAGCTTTATTATAATTATGCAGGGAGTTTTACAAATTATATGGACTCTGCAATGTAGGTAGAACACGAATCTGCAAAGAGATGTAAAAAGAACAGCACAACCAACGGATATAGTATAAGAGATACAATAAAGTAACACTTAGATACTATCGCTGAAGTATAAGTAGTATTTAATCTGACATGTATTCTGTGTTACCTGAAGACCTCTCATGAATTATAAAACAAATACCTCAAAGTGAATCAACTTTTGGTAAATGTGAATCAATGTTACGATCAATCTAGTTGGATTGTTAATCATTTAATTGATGTACAGTGCGGAGCTCTGTATTTCCTGACCTCTGTAACCCAACAATGATGGATTAATCACAGCCGCCTAAAGTTATGGTAGAATTGTGCATAGAGCCTATTGTAATATTTTCTTAATCTCAATATATTATCCAGCACTTGTGCAACTTTTTCTATTTGTCTTCAAAAATTAAAATAGTATAAATATTTATAATAAAGTAATTTTTTTAATCTTATTTGTTTTAAGGTTATGTGCAGAGTCTAATCCGACGTGTGGTAAACAACGTGAACATCGTGGTGAACAACCTGATTCTGAAATACGTTGAAGACGACATCGTGCTCTCGGTCAACATCACCTCAGCTGAGTGCTACACTGTGGACGACATCTGGGAGAGGGCTTTCATGGACATAACTGGTGAGCAGGGAGGTGACACAGGGGATAATGTGAAACCAGCTGAGAGGAAAAGACTAAATTCATTCATCACAGATGGGGATTCAGAAAAAAGATGGCGCCGCCTTTAAATATAATATAAAGTAATGGTTACTTTTATTTATTAGGTCAGAAAGAAGAACCTAACCTGCTGAATCCTGTAGTCCTATTAAACCAGTTCTACAAAATGACTCACAAAGTTTATCTAATTAAGAAAAAGAAAAACAACAACAACCTGTGTTCATTATGAGTGTCTGAAATTTATAGAATCATGCAACAACAGGCCAAAAAAATTCTCAAAATAACATAACTTCATTTTTGTAGGTTAAGTGTAAAGAGTTAAATACTTTTGTTTTGAATGACTCAACATCCAAACTGGGTTTTATCCTCCATCGAGTTGATCTAATTTAAAACTGTAGCCCGAATCTTATTTACCTTTATTTACAGTTATTTAAGTTTTAGCCGTTGTAAGGTTTTTACTGTAAAGCAGCAACAATTGTCTTATTAAAGGAGTTTTTAGGAAACAGGAATTGTTTTTTTCCCATGATGATGGCAAATTTAAAATGACTCAAAGCCTTTATAAGGTGGATATACTCTAAGCCAATATAGGGACATGTCACTGTTAATGTTTTGTACGGTAATAGAAAATCTCTACCTTCCTATTCATTACATGAAGAATGATGAAGTCACACTGTAAAGACTGCGAGCGTAACAAAAGGTAGAAAGTAACACTAATATGTTGTAATTAGTTTTAAATGTAAAAAACTCTAGATTCATTTTAGCTTTATATGCAGCTCTTGTTATATTAGAAATAAATATATAAGATAAAATAACAATAAACAAATAATGATACAATAATAACTGTAAAAATAATTAAAAATGTCAGATATATCGGTTTACTATTTTTAAATTTTTCTGGGGCAATTTGACTTTTGGAAAAAAATGTTCTTACAAAATTTCAAAATCAGAATTTTATTTTACTAAATTATGATTTAGGAAATTCTTATTTATTAGAACTTTTCTCCATTTTTTTGTTATTTGAATTACTCTAGTGAATTTATTACTTAATGGGAGGATATATAAACCTTTAAACACTATTCTATATTTACTCCCTCTTTTGATTATCAGTTAAACAAAAATATTTCTGTTTCACTTAAGAATTATATCATGTGTTAACTTTGGATTCTGTTTTGTTTTTGTTTTTTTCCCTCCATAGCCCCAGAGCTGGTCCTAAGAAAAGTGATAAACTTTGCTGACTGTACTGTGTGCTTGGATAAGAGGAACGCCAGCGGGAAGATCGAGTTTTACCAGGATCCTCTGTTGTATAAATGCTCCTTCAGAACCCGCCTCCATTTCACGTACGACAGCATCAGCTCCAAGATCCCGGCTGTCATCAAAGTGAGCAGCTTCAATCGGTTCCAACAGAAAACTTGATAAAGATCAGATTTTTATGGAGATTTATTCATTCCACATCTCTTTTAGTTCAATTTCATCTGTATATTGCTGTTGAATTGATGTATTTGAAATGCATTTAAGGGCTGAAATGATATAAATTAGGATCCATAAATAATTTGATCATTTTGTAAACTTTTCTAAAATTAAAAGGTTTCAGGCAAACTTGAACATTTTTTCCCCTAAAGATTTAATCAGTGTTTACCTACTAAATTGTTTAAATGGGAATTTAATGTGAACTGATATTAGGGAAATACTAACATTCATTAATAAAACGTAGGCTGAATTATGACTCCTCAGCACGGCCTATTTCTTCTCCCAACTTCAGTCCTTTAAATGTTTTGTTTTTTCTCTATCTTCTAACTTTATACGTGTCTATAACTATGAGGAATATATATGCATCAACATGTCTTTCCTTTAAATACTTTATGAGTTAAATCTGACCATGCCGATAGTGGGAATATATTTTTAGTCCCTTTCTGATTTTGCAGGTTTTGCAAACTTAAAATTTGAATCAAATCTTCAATCGGTGAGGTTTGAATTGATTAACTGCCATGGAAAATGTTACTTAGATGTTTTGGGTAATATTCTGTGGTTATAACAGTATAGTGTGTATGAAATTATCATTTTGTTGTTTGTTTTTGCTCCATAGGCTGTATTTAGTTTCCCAGACTAACTATCGTCTATTTTTCTTCAGATTCACACAATGGTGGAGAGCCTGAAGTTATCCATCACTGATCAGCAGCTGCCCATGTTTATCCGAATCTTAGAGCTGATTATCGCTCTTTACTACGGAGAGATAGGAGGGCACAAAGAGAGCGAGGCGGAGGAGGGCAGCGGTCAGTTAAGGGAAGGCGGAGCAAGTTCTCCCGGTGAGTAAAAGATAGAAATGAGATTTCTTTTCCAGAGTAAGTTTTGTTTTCTCTGGAATGTGGGTTTCAGAGATATAATCGTATCCACATATGAAATGAAAAATCTTTCACAAAAAAAAGTTTTTCGAGTAGTTATTTATAACTTTGTAAAAAAGTTATTTAAACTTTTTTTTTTTATAATTTTTTTTACTGATTTTTTATCTTTTCATACACATTTTTTTATAATTTCCCTTTTTCAGATTGAGTTTTAGGAATTGCATTTTTAAAATTGCCTTTTGTAGATCACATTCTCCACAGTGCCAGCCAAATCACAATACTTGGTCTTGACCAACTAAAAATGTTTAAAAAAATTACAATTTTGAAAGGAATAAAATATTTATAAATAGAATAAATATCTGGAAACGGCAAAGTGACTTTCAATTTCTCAAACTCATTTTTCAAGATTTTATTTCTAGATTCCTTTTCTTTTTTTATATTTCGATTTGCAAAACACATTCTTAGCTTGCAACAACAATGGAACAAAATTCCTTCCATATAATCTCCCCTTTGCTATAAAACTTCTATTAAAATTAGATTATTTTTTTTTTGCGATCTCTATCCACTACCTATTCAGTAGTTTTGTCCGTTGATAAGCTGCTGCTGTTGTTTAGCAGGACTTTCACTATGATTTCCCTCTGTTTAATTTTCTAACAACTACATGAAGCCTTGTTTGTGAACTTTGTCAGGCTCAGTCCCCTCCAAGATAACTATTGTAGAAGGTAGAAAGTGAAGAAAGGGATGTCTAAATATTCTGTGTATACAGATATGCTGCTCATATCCAACATCCAGGCCAAAGGCGTCATTATTGGCTTCAGTAAATCTACTCAATAGTAACAATTTAACAACAGAAGATGACAGATTTCACCATTATTAGCAGGATTTTATAAATATTTAATAAAAAGTGGAAGAGTAGAAATAAAAGTCTAGATGTTTTACTTGGTCACATTCTTAAAATGCTGCTCATTATGATTTTTTTGCCACCTAAGTCTACCAGGTTTTGTCTGAAGCATTTTTTTTTTTTTCAACATTCTTCCTTCAAAGGATTTCCAGCTGTTTGAGATTTTTCTTTTTTTTTTGGGTCGCCTTGCGCGAGCTGCTCTTTTGGGATATATGATCTCTGTTGAGGGCGACCGGCTTAAAAGATTATTGAAAAACTTCCCTTTTGCCTCTTTGGAATTTTTGGTGGGGGGGATTTTTTTTAAAGTTATCATTCAAGCACGAACTAAAGCATTTCACCCAAAGCCCTCCCTGCTCTCCTCTGGAAACATCTAGTTTTGTTTCCAGAATGTGCTCTGATGTCGCTGAATCCAGGGTTCCTACAGCATAAAGCAAGTTCAATTCAAGACTTTTTAAGACTTTTTAATGCCACTTGAAATAAAAATTTAAGACCAAATTTACAAGAAACAAAAGAAAAACCTGCTTGCGACAACTTAACCCAAAGGTTTATTTTAACATAAACCACTGCACTAATGTTTCATATTTTGAAAAGCTTCCAATACAGGAAGAAAGCTAAAAACACACAAATAACAGATATATTTTAACAATTATTTAACTGAATTCACAAACTTTGTTTTAGAAGGGAACAAAACAAACCAGTTTTAAAGCCACAACATAACCAGTGCTAAGTCTTTTTTGCAGCTATTTGTCTTTGTATGGTTTTCTTAGTATGTTTGATTTGGTGATAAGTGGAGGCGTTGCAGAGACAAGGGTGGAACAAAACTGAGAAATACCGGCTGTTTCTCGGTAACTCGATTTTGACGCTTTGTGTTTCGCGCTTCGCATGTACGACTCCACTGCCTTCATTCCCATCGTTTCGAGCTTGAATCGCTTCTTGCACAAAATACACCGAGTGTTTGTTCCCTGGTTTTAGCCATGGAGAAAACTCTTGGCTGGATAACCAATTTTGGTTACATTTACACTTGCTCATATTTTCCAGACAAAAAGTTAATGGCGCATCTCCCAAATGTCCCGGCCGCAACAACGCTTTTATTGGTTCCGCTATCGGGACGGAACCAATAATGGCAAGCCGTTCTTTTTTTTTTATTAAAAATTTTTTTTTTAATTTTAATGTTTTATTTAGATTACAAAAATAAATCGTAATAAAAATAATCCTATTTAGGATATTTAAAAAAATAAGACCTACGAAAGACTGATTCAAGACATTTTAATACCAATTAAGGCCTTAGTTTTATTTTGAAGAATTCAATGCCTTTTAAGACTTTTTAAGGACCCGCGGGAACCCTGTGAATCAGCTCGGCTCGTCCCTTCACTTGGCTTTAACTTGAGATTTATCAAAACCTTTGACTAAATCATCTACGTCGATTTTCCCAAAATGCTGCTTTTAATGCGAACATTCAGAGCACGTTAGCATTGAAAGCACATTGATGTGGGTAAACCAACATCAGAGAAAGATGCACCAAATTCTATGGATGAAAATGTTACGTGGAGAAAGGAACTTTTACTATTGGCTTTTTTCTTTAGAAGCGGTCTTTGGCATCCAGATGTTAACTTATGAAACACCTCATAGGTTTTAGTTTTTACGCTTTAGGAGTAGCTGATATCTTCCTTCTATGAAGCCATTGCTGTTAAAATTTAAGAAAAGATTTAAGGATTATTACTATCGGGTAATGATTTTATCCTTGTTTTCTCCAAATAAGCAGGCATTAAAAGCTGAACAGACTGAAACCTTTATTCATGTCCTTTATGTGAAGTTAGGCTGCTATGAACTTTACTGAGCCAAATAAACACACCCCAAGAAGACAAAATTGTCTTGGCTGCTCTCCTGTTCTCGTCTTTCTTAACTGAAACTGTTACTAGACAGGTTTACAGCTTTGTTTCAAAGCTCCCTAGCAAAAAGTAAAAATAAAGACCCAGCAACTTTGATTTGGCCTGCTAAAAAAAGAAGTGTGAGGAGAGGGAGAAGGATTGAACAAGCAGAAAAAGCAATATTTTGGGTGGGATCAGTGAAAGCAGGGTGCAGAATTTCAGGGGAAACCAAGCAAATTTGCAAACGATCCTTATTAGCTGCTGAATGAGAGAGTAGTAAATATTCTGAGGCTGAAATAGGGCAATGTGCCCCTAAGATTAAATGGCTTACTCATGTTTCTCTAAATCCAATCCAATCCAGCTTTATTTAAAGAAGCACTTTACATTACTGAAATGACCAAAGTGCTGTTAAATCACAACTCCTTCTGGGTTTAGTCGCTCTTTGTTTCCCCATAGTCATGGATCTAAAGTGGTGTCCAGAAGGACAACATATTACAGCCTTGCTTTCTTTGACTCGCCTGCTGCCTCTTGGACTTCTCTGCAAGTTGGCACAGCTTCCAATAAAGTGTCCAATGCCAGATGTAAGAATCGCGCTCATGCTATTGCTATGCAGAGCCCCTGAGAGTGAATTAGTATCCCATCACAAAACGAGGAAGAACCAGAAGGTGCAACTTGAGTACCCAGATACCTAATTATGTTGGAAATACATGAGTGAGTGAAGGAGGGGGTCGTTCATATATGCAGAAACCTCCAGAAGATCTGATAATCTTTTATTATTCTGTGTTTGTTTAGGGCTGCATGGATCATGGTCATCTCTGTTTTTTTCTAAGTGCTTTTATAGCCTCGTTTTGAAGCTCTTGCTTCAGTACAGGAGCTTTCTTAGTGAAACAGGAAACCCTGAGTGAGTTCAGTGGGGATGTGAACAGTCACCTCCAGAGAATCTTATGGTGGTCGTGTTTATTCATTGCTCATCCAGCCCAAGCCTGAAATAATACATCACTACAGGTTATCTTTACATGTTCCAAAGAAAAAAACAACCTTATACGGAGGGGGTGGACTCAGGTTTCAGCTTTCAAAAACCTACTATGCAGCAATAGAGTGGATCCCTTCCCGCTATCATCGCAACCCCACCCCTGTACAGAAGGCCGGAGGGCCTCGCCTATTCAGCCAGGCCAACAGTTCCCTTTATCGACCCCCCTTTCAGAGACTTAGACAGGTATGGGGCGTTGTAGGCTAACAAAAGAAGCCAAACGACCCCCATTCCAAAGGGGCGGACCCCTTCGTCCATTTCAGTTTGCATGTTTTCAAAACAAAAACAAGGTTTTGATGGACTACTGTATAAAGCCTCAAACTCAACACTATTTCTGACATTTTGAATTTAAAAAGCTTCCTGGATGGGAAGCGAAATGTCTTCAAACTTGAAAACAAAGTCCAGTAAAATTCAGGTTTTTAAGTGACTAATTGCAATGGAAGAGGAAACAAAAGCAAGACGAAGGTTTAAGTTTAGCAGGAAAATTCTGCTTTAATAACTCAAACAGGAGATGGGGGGAAAAACAGTAATTAAAATAATTTGTTTTATCATTAACTGCATTTTTTACCCAAAGTGAACTAAATCTTGTCATTTTCTGAAAAGATAATTACAGGTCTTTATTTTTTCCTGTTATTATCAAATGATTGGTATTTTATATTTTCCAAGCATCCTTCTTCTGCCGCCTATTATCTCCAGCAATCTACTAGCGAGAGGCGGGGTTCACTTCACAGGGCAACATAGAGACACACATAGAGATACATCCTCACACCTAAGGACAAATTAGAGGCACCAATTAACCTAACATGCATGTTTCTGGACTGTGGGAGGAAGCTAGAGTACATTTAGAGGAGTGAAAAAACATTGATTCATTTCACTTTATTTATTAAATGATAACTCAGTTACATAAAATCAAGATATTGATCCACATCGTCATCTTAAGGATATGTGCGCTCTCAGACGTACTCATCAGAAAGGGAGCAGGTAATTTATTTTCTGTGAGCTGATCTAGATGTCACTGATTTAGATGAATTGGTTTATGATGTCATATATCCATTGTAATCTTGCTAATCGAATTCATCAATGTTGACAGATTCTTTGACTTTGGGAAATCTCGTTTTATCACCCAAAGGAATTGTTATAACATCCCAGGGTCGGGCATGGTCTG